AAGCAAACACATTTCTTCTGACAACAATTACTGACTTCTTTGGAGACCTACTTCCGGGGTAACTACTGCTCTCACGGGTCATGCTGCCACCCTCTCTACTCAACGGCAATAACTGATGGACGGAGCCACCTGGCTTCATCTCTTAGAGCATAGAGTGTCCGTGACTGCCCTTCCAAGTTACTCTAAGGGGAGGAGAAAACAAGCTACATAACGTGCTACTTGTCACATAACTAGTTCATGCCAGAGCTGGGATCAGAATCCAGACATTTTGAGGTAAAACACTACTCTTAGAAACTATGCCTTGTAGCTTCCCTTCTCTCTGGAGACCCCCGAAGTTTAGTGTAGCACCCTGCTATATTTCTTTTCGTTTCTTCTGTCTCTTCCCCACCCCAATCTACTCCTCTTACATGCTTTCAATATCCAGAAGGGAAGGCACATGAGCGCGCGCGTGCACATACACACATTTTTTTTTTTACCATATACCAACGTGATGGATATTATTTCAAGTCTCTAAGCCTGAAGGAGAATAATACAATTCCAGCCTCCAGCCTTGGAGAGGAAGTTTGGTTAAACCACCTGGCCCACCTCCCGCTGGGAGGGAGACTACAGGCCATTCAGACAGAGCCAGGCTAGTTCACATGTCAGCTCACAAAACCCCAAATGTTCCCAAAGTATGAAGCTAGTTTGGTACCACTTAGCCACTACTCAGGACATCATTTGTGTATAGGGAAATTCAATTCAAGGAGGCCTCCTCATCCCCATCCGACTTTAGGTGAAAGAGCAGCTGGCGAGGGAATGAGTGAGGTGTGAATTTGAGGGGGGCTTGTGGAAGAGCAGGTGTGATCCTTTGAAATCTGTGAAATCTTTCCATGGTTGTTGCTGGCTGCCATGACATTGGCCCAGCCCCACGGCCAATTTGCTCAGTGGGCTCTAAGCATGGTGATCTCTTGAGGTTGCAGTACTGTAACTGATGTTCTCAATCTTAGTCCGTAAGATCCAAGGAATCCAGGTCACCAACACACCACATGTGAGTCCCCAAGAAGAGACGGCAGTGGGTGCACATCAAGGGCATTGACTGGGATCAAACCTGGGTCTCTGAAGTGGAAAGCAGCTTTGCGAGGCAGAAGGTAGCCACCCTTTGCTCCCCCCTGGCTCACTTCTCTTTGGTCAATCATTCATTCTTATGTAACATCTTCCGACAGGGCAGCCTTCTAAGTCCCAAGTCCTCCCATGCTGTCTCCTTGGCTCATCACAGCCACAAAGAGCACCTCGCCGCCCACCTTAGGATGCGGGCAGAAGCGAACCTTACTTGTCTTGCTGCTGCCTAGGATGTCCCTGCTCTCTAAATCCAATGACCTCCCTGGAGCTGACTCCCTCTGTCTTTGGTCTCGTGGTTCCCTGCCTATTTGGGGAGGACCTTTCAAGTTCCTTGTCCACGCAGTGACAATCTCCCACACCGGGACAGCATTAGATCACGGAACCACCAACCACTGCCTTCATCTGCGCTCTCTCCGCTGCACGACATCATTTATTCGCAGGTGCTCAACAATGGGGAAGGAAGGGCTCCGGGGCGCGGGGTCAGGACTCCCCTGCTGATTGTGTTCCAAGACTGACGATGATTTGAGGTTCATGAAATGCCTACAGATTTATACAGGTCATCGCCAGTTTGGGAACAGGCTGAACCAGCGCCGAGTGAAAAACACGAGACAGCATTTTAATTGGCCTCCTGAAGCCACACAACCAAGGAGAAAGCCAACTTGCAAGAGCAAAGAGTAATTAACGAAGGGAGCGAGAGGAGGTTCATTTAGTAACTTCCAAATAAGTTCTTCTGTCTGAGAGGGAGGGGGCAAGGGAGCCTGCAACAGAAAGATAAACTGTAGGTATTTAAGTCACAATGCCTTCCGCCAAGGACGGCGTATTACCATTAGATGTCGTGGTGGCAGCGAGGCCAGCTAGAGCTAACTTTATTATTAGAAGCAATTAGGAAGAAAAGGGCAGAATTTCATTTGGTTATTTCAAAACAAGTTTCTGTGCCTGGCTTAATGAAGGCCTGTGGTGTCGAGATAAAATGTGTGTTTTTCTGAAAACAGCTTTTGCAAATGACTGCTTGTTTCTGGCAGGTTTCTGTGGGCAGGGCAGCCTGGGTAGGCCTGATTGACATGCATGCTCTACTAACGTTATTCCGCTGTTTCAGCCTCCCAGACATGCTCCCGAGCACTTCGGACCGATGGTTAAGATACACGACTGCCTGCCTTCCAGACCCGCCTCTGACCTTGGTAGCTGAATGACCTTGGATGAACTTCCAGGCCATTGTTTATTCACATGTAAAGTGGCATGTGTCTCTCTCAAGGCTGTTAGGAAATATAGAGAATTCCCTAATATATGTTAATGGCGCCCTGGTGGTGCATGCTAGATACAGCTCTTAATTATTAACTGGTATAACCAAAAAACCAAACTCACTGCCACGAGTCCATGCCGACTCATAGTGACCCTAGAGGACAGGGTAGAACTGGCCCTGTGAGTTTCCAGGAGTATGGGGTCCCCTGTCTTTCTCACAAACCGATGACCTTGCTGTTAGCAGCCCATGAGGAACCTGGTGTCATTCATTAACTGGTCTCCTCAAGAGTCACCTTGGGCTTGCTATTTGGATACATCATCAGGAAAGTCGCTGGGTCCAACCACAGCACAGGGTAGTGTGTGGGGCAGACGGTCAAGGTAAATAAGAAAAGTCCTCAATTGGATGGCCTGGCAAGACAGCCAATGCCCACTTTACAGACTCAAGCAAACCAGTGAGCATGAAGAAGGTGCAAGGCCAGCCAACGGCGTGTTCCCTTAGACGAGTGGTTCTCAACCTGTGGGTCTCGACCCCTTTGGGGGTTGAACAACTCTTTCACGGGACTCGCCCGAGATTCGTAACAGTAGCAAAATTACAGCGATGAAATAGCAACAAAAATAATTTTATGGTTGGGGGGGTCACCACCACATGAGGAACTATATTAAAGGGTTGTGGCATGACGAAAGTTTGAACCACGGTCTTAGACATACGGTGGCCATGAGTCAGACATGGCTCCATGGTCATCAAGAGCAGCAGCAACACAGACAAGGGCCATGTGGGAGAGGGCTGGCTGCTTTGAAAGAATGTGTTTCCCATATACAGGCTACCGAGTGTCAATCAACACTAGGTCCTTTGACATTTTATGAATGAAGATTTATCTGTGAAGTAAGAAACGGTCACAGTGATCTTGATCTCCATTGCTTTCAGACAGTAGTTCAACTTCCTTACACAGGTCGGGTGATTTCACAGTTTGGTGGTTGACTCAAACCGTAGTAAATCATCACCATGGACTTCCCACCGACACGGTGGTTGCTTTTTCTCACTGTCCCGTGCCTGGGCTTCTCTTTTATAGGCAACCTTTCACCAGTTCCTCATCAGCACACCTGAGCTAAGAGCCACTGCCCTGGGTTTAACTTAGAAGAACATTTCAAGATCCTCATCTGTTGTGTAATTGAGGAGGAGGTGATTTTGGCTAAAGGAACTTTGGTCGCACAGGGGCAAAGTGCTTAGCGTTTAATTGAAAGTCTGGTCTAAGCCCAGCAGCTGCTTTCTGGGAGAAAGAAGAGGCAGTCTGCTTCTGTCAAGAGTTTCAACCTTGGAAACCAGAAGAGGCCATTCTGCCTCACCCTACAGGGTGGCTGTGAGTCTGAATCGTTCAACGACAGAGGGTTGGGTTTGGGCTTCAGGCAGTGACTACAACGAAAGGTCTTTCTTACCTGTGGCTCCAAGCTCTGCCCTAAACGTCCCACTCATTAGTCCCATGCTATCTTCAGTGATTGTCTCAGAAGCCCTTTGGTTAAACTCTTATGGTGGAATACTGATTTTTATCAGATGGCTCTACTATTGGCCCACTCCCTTCGGAAAAGGCACATTTTCTTATACGTTATGTTTCTGTTTTCCAAATCAACAGTATTTTTAAGTCATGTACCATGTTCCATAATATTGGGCTCCTATGATGAATAACACTCTTCATACAACTTCCCATTATATTATACAAGCAATGATCCTGTTATTCAAATCTATTCATTCTGGAAAAATATAAACCAGCAAAATGCCCTCTCTAGAGTTAATGTGTTTTTTAAGCTGTGTGTTAACCCTCATCATTTTTTTTCCTGGCCGCCCTGATTTAATTTATGCTTCTTTGCATAAATTTGAATAAGAGGCTCTTTCGCAGAATTTCACATTTGACAAGGCAGAGTTTGAGAAAGAGAATGTTGAAAACATTGGAAACACTGACTGCGTTGTATTATCATCCCTCTTTAACTCGCCATACTGTGGTGGCTTGTGTACGGCTGTCATATAGGAAACCATGCCACTGCTATTTCCAATGCCAGCAGGGTCAGCCAGGGTGACAGATTTCACCAGAGCTTCCAGACGAAGATGGGTAGGAAGAACGCCTGAAGATTATTCTCTGAAAACTCAGCCCATGAAAACCCTTCAGATCCTTAGAGAGCACTGGCAGATACAAGAAGGTGAGCTCTCTAGGTTGGAAGGCACGTGACACAGGAGGGTCGTGACAGTGACAGGCCTGAACATGCGTGATGGCGACGATGGCATGTTTGGTTCTGTTGCTGTGGGTCAGAGCCAACATGACAGGGGAATGAAGAGCACCCTATTGGAGGTGTTTTCTCCAACACTCGTGTGTTCTTGTTCAAGGTGAATTTTAGAGAGATGTTCAAGCAAATATTCATTTTCTCTAATCCAGTAGGTCTATCTATTGAATAGTACTCTATATTACCTTCTATTTTTCCCCCTGTAGCAATCATACACATATCATCAGAGAGTCTTCTCTTGGAAAGCTCCAAAGATTTATAAGGAATGATTTTAAAAAAAATTCATAACTCTATTAGGAAGCTACAGCTCAGGGAACGCTTGAAATCTGCATTGGGTAAAATAGCAACACGTGAGATGACTTCGAGGGAAAGAGATAGAGGCGTACTCGTACCCTGGACCGTTCTTCGAGTTTGGTCATCATGACAACTGTGGCACTCCGCTGCTCCCAGATCATCCTCCAGAAGTCCCCAAAGGTTTCCGGAAGTGATCCTTGTGTTGCAATATAGGCGTTTTGCTTCCTGTACCCATCTATGTAGTTAGCATTCACATAGTCACTTCCTGGGATACCTGCAAAACAAGGACCAGTTATCATTATTCAATGAGGCGAACATCTAAGAGGAAGCACCAGGAGGCCAAGTTTAGCGACAATGTTATATTATTGCTCTGATTTGTGGCTGAGCAAAGTCACAAAATAGTTAAACTTTAGGCTTGAAACAAACTTACATGATGTTTTTCTTCAAAGAATGGCTCCCTTTGCTATGCCCCAAAAGATTAAACAGGTTTTAGGAAGGCCATGACAACAAACAAACGCAACATTCAGGGGTGGGGCCATCATCAGATGACAGGTAGATGACCATCGAATGGCGATCATCACTGACTATCCACATGGTCTCTTTCCTCGGACATACTGCTTTCTCTATCACACCAGCAAGTGGCGGTTTGCAAACGAGTTCAGCAATGTGGTCACATTCCTCCCCCAAGCTCATCTCCACCCACAGACAAGGTCCAAATGAAATCCAGCAAAGCCTTGACCTGAAACTCCAAGAGAAGGTAGAGCCCGGCATCGTCATGAACAATCTTTGCAGACTGAGTTAATAGGGAAACCCACAAGCAGTGACCACGGTTGTCGCCTCAAACACAGAACGTGTTATTGGTCTTGCGGAGAGAACTAGCGAATCTGAGGTTCCAGAGGACAGCCTTTCCGCTCTGCTTGGTGCTCATCGGAACCAGTGCTGGAGTCTATTACACATATAATTAACAATCTCAGAAACACTCTTTGGGACAGTCAACAATGATAATGAAAGTTAGCATGTCTACAAAGCGCTTTTTGTGAGGGCAGAGGCGATCAAAGACTTTCGTGGATACATTTGGCTTAAGGTTTAGAAATGTAAAGATGGTCTTGCGGTTCCTGCAGTGTCCATGGCTCCAGAAGTCAGGATTCCATGGAGAATTTAGCATGTGAAGATCTGGGCAGAACTCTACCTTAGCTGTCCTGATTACAAGTTTAGAGTTCACCCAGAAGCCTTCCAGATGAGTGCGGGCAAGGGTGAGCCTCCAAGGAGGGTGCCCGGAGTGATTCAGGACACCAAAACCATTCCATATGGGAAAGGAATACCTGTGGCGGCCTGAAAACGGAAAAGGTAGAGGTGGAGGATGAGCGCTGGCTGGGAGAATCTACAGGAAACTCAACTTCAGTCGCTGCTGCCTGTCTTCTGTGCTTCAGGCAATTCTCACACACAGTGACCATTGTCTGTTACAAAGTAGAACTGACCCATAGGCTTCTCGGTACAGAAACCGAGGTGTGGTTGGCTCTGTGCAAGACAGCACACTTTTTTTTTTCTTTCATCAGTGGATTGGGAAAGCAAATAAACATGAGAAACGCGTTTTCAAGCCGGCAGGCTGTCAGTGCAGAGAGTTGGAGTTCACCTCCAATGTAAGAAGACATTTTCAAAAGCTCAAAATCAAAAAGGAATCGGTTTCCTTGGGATGGCAAGTGTTGTCGCCGATCACAGGAGAGGAGCTGACGCTCTGCTTCTGCAAAGACCCCAGCCGCAGAGCCCTACGGGCAGTTCCGCTCAGTCCTCCTGCATCACAGCAACAGAGGAGGGCAAGCACTCCACAGCGGCATCTGCGTGACAGGGCAGGAGGCACCAGACACACTTCCCGGCACCTTCTCACCAGGGAAAGCAGGAGTGGTGGAATTAGGAGAGGGGCGAAAAGGGAATCGCTTTCTTATCATGGTACATGGGCAGGCGCCCCAGCCAAAATTGGTCAATTTCACAGATTGCCACTTGCAAGGACTTTGGCGGTGTTTTTGACATCGGTTGTGAGTCAGACCGTCTTCAGAACAGTAGTGCACGTCAGATGGCAACCACGGTGCTCCACGATGAACACGTGCATATGGAATAGGGCTGGTGGGAGCTGGAAAGCCTTTTTTTGGGGGGGGAAACCAAAAAAACCCCAAAAGCACTGAAAGTGAGATCGATTGTGACATGCGTCATTTATTGCAGCTACTCAAGACGCTATTAGGGTTCTGGAAGCCCTTGTTGATGCAGATCCAGTTCCCCCGACAGCCAATGAGAGCAGATGCAAAGGGCAGTCTAAAGAAAATCTGCACGTTTCAAGCAGGGGGATGGATGGCCTTCCACATTTCAGAGGATTGGGTTTGGGGTCAAGAATGAGTCCCTCTTCTGATCAGGAGAAAGCCCACTTGCCAAAAATTTAAAAGTTAACTTGAAAGTTAACGGCATTAAAGGACTGATTAAATAAGGGATTTGAGCTAAGGTCTCATGCTGCAGTCAAAAATACAAAAACTTCTGTTGAAGAGCATTTTGAAGGGGAAACAGAGGTTGCTGGCTTAGAAAATGCATACATTGGACACTTGGCCTTGCACCCCTCATCCCAGAGAACTGATATGTGTGAACAGTGCACGTGAGGGTGTACAGGGCTCTATGCGAAACGTACATCTCTCCAACTCTCCTGTGTACATTTCAGTCAGTTATCATCTAATGAATTGTTTGGGGCTTGATGTACTGCTCAAATCCCCAACCAACTAGGCACCCGCAATTCATATGGTGCCATCGGATGCTAAGGGTTGGGGATTTGATGTTTGGAAAAGACGTGAAAACCAAGGTCAATGCTTAGTAGGGCCAATTGTGGTTGTTGTTAGGTGCTATCTAGTCGGCTCTGACACACAGCAACCTGATGGACAACGGAACAAACCACTGCTTGTGCCTATACCATCCTCACAAGCATCCTTATGTTTGAGGCCCTTGGGGCAGCCACTGTGTCAATACGTCTTTCTATTTTTCACTGCCCAAGCATGATGCCCTACTCCAGGGACTGATCTCTCCTGACAACATGTCCAAAGTACATGAGACAAAGTCTCAGCATCCTTCCTTCTAAGGAGCATTCTGGCTATATTTCTTTCAAGACAGATGTATTTGTTCTTTTGGCGGTCCATGGTGCTTTCAGTGTTCTTCTCTAGCACCAGAATGCAGATGCAGTCATACTTCCTCCACCTTCCTCATTCAGCATCCAACTGTCACAGGCATAGGAGACTAACTAGGTGGTGCTGATAGTTGTCACATACTCTATTTGTTGAAGGGTTGGCAGATGGTTGGCAGAAGGGTTGCCTTTATGGTGGTCAGGTCAGAGCACCACCATATAGAGAGGTCAGGTGACCCGCTTCTAAAAGGTCAAGGCCTTGAGAACAGTTCTACTCTGCTGGTGGTCTGAGTCAGAATGGAGTTGATAGCTAACAGCCACAAGGGTTACCCTAATGGCTGTGTCCCTAAGAAGAAGCTTGAGGCTCATTCTGTATGTCTGGAGCTGTGTGGGAGGAAGCAGAAGCTGGGATAAAAAAACAATAAAACCTGTACACCCAATAAAATGATTACTATTAAACAAACTAGAAACCCTGTACACGGTCTGGTGAGAGAGATTTCAAGTTCAGTTTTCTCTCAAGAGCCCTTTGCTCTTTGGTGGAGGGAGAGACGGCTCTGCTCTTCAGAAACTCTTCTAAGGGCTCTGGTCCTAGTGTTAGGCACACAGCCCGCCGCGATAAGCTATGTACAGTGATGAAGGAGAAAGGGTGTGGCTTGACCCTTAAAAACAGCAACACCAACTTGGAAGCCAACACTGAAGAGCCGTATGTCTGACACAGATGACACCCTTGTTTTCCAAGGGACTCATATTTATAGAAAGCTGGTCCGGCCATCCTCATGAAATGGGCACACAGGCTTCTGCCACATTTGGGCCCCATAAGCACTGGGTTTTTTTGTTGCTGTGTTGAGACGACTCTTTCTGAGAGGTTGGGTCTACAGCCTTCTGACTCCGTGTAGGGTGACCTTCTCCACGGAATGCCTATTTGTTTATTTAATTTTCAGTCCCCTGACTTAGCCAGAAAATGATTTGCATCTACTAATGCAACACTAATCAGAGTGCACGACTAATCTGAGAGAAGTGTCTGAGAATTAATTGACTCCCTCCGGGGCTCTGATGGACAGAAATCTAACTCAAACTTTGGCCCTGAAAGAGTATAGAATTCCTCATCGGATGGTGAAAGATGTGACAAAATAATAATAATTTATAAATTATCAGGGGCGCGTGAGGGAGGGGGGGCGGGGAGGGAGGGGAAAATGTAGAGCTGATACCAAGGGCTCAAGTAGAGAGCAAATGTTTTGAGAATGATGAGGGCAACAAATGTACAAATGTGCTTGACACAATGGATGGATGGATGGATAGGGAGAAGCATTATAGGAGCCCCCGATAAAATGAATAAACAAACAAACAAACAAACAAACATTAAGAGTATAGAATTCCTCACAATTCCTGATCCTGGGAGTTTTCTGTCTGAAAGTCTCGGGGATCTTCTTCTACTGCTATGGCAATACAGGTGCTTGTTACCTTTTAAATGAAATGTGTCCTTTCTGGTGGAGGGGGAAGAGTTAGTGAAACAATACACAGAGGTGTCCTGGCAGCTGGCGGATTGGTCTAGCTGGAGGAACTGTCACTGGAGTCAGCTGGTCTTACTATCTTTGTTCCAAAAAATGTAGCTCAGGTCCGAGACCAGTTGCATGTGACAAGTCCCAGGCGGCTATGTTTATACGAAGGGCGTGTTTTTCCCACCAGTTTTCCTGCTTTGTTTTGTTCATGTGTTCTTTCCAGTTAGTTAAGAGTATGTCAACAGGCCCAACACTGTAGAACGTTTATGACTCTCAATTTGTGAATCAGAAAATGGAGGCCGGAGTCTCGGAATTCATATGCCGTCAATTTGACCCATTCCCGTGGTGGAGGGTCTCCCACTGGTTCACAGACTGCTCTTCTAGTCTTTGTGTGGCATTGCAACATCGTCGAGATATTGGACTAGACCTGTCTTTGTATTTTTGGCAAAGTGTGAAGATGCAAACTCAAGCCTTTGAGGATCCTGGGGCCTGCGCTGGGGTGAGTGAGTGCCTGAGAGAGTCACAGCAAGCAGCCAGCAAGACAGGGAAGCAAGCAAGCCCGAGGCTCTCATTCTATGCCCTGACTGCTCGTGATCATTTTTGGTGGAAAAATAAGCCCGG